TATATATATATATATATATATATAGATAGAGATATATCTATGTGTTTAAAACCCTTCCCATACTCTTGTGATATTCTAAACAATGTTTATAAACTCTACATGCTCTAAAAGAGCACAGAATGTCATGAACTCTGCTCTCGGCCACGCCCACTTCTCCACTGCATAATGGAGATCGACAGAGGAGGAAGGAGGAGCTGCAGGAGGAAGTTTCTCCTGCAGTGTGGGCTGCACACAGGTGTAGCAGGAGCTAAATAATTTAAAATAATTCATTTTAAATAAAAATTCCATACCAATCTAGCGGCTCATCCATCAAACAGCCAATTGTGTGTCATGTCCAATCTTATTTTGACAAACAGAGATAGAGCGAGTCTGCAAAAAACAAACCGTGAAGTAGTGATGTGTATATATAAATATATATATATTTATTTTTTTTGTATTTACTTCCCCACCTCTCCAGACAAAATATTAACAGTTTTATGAGATATGTCATCTGTCTTTTATTTACAATAAATGTGGATAAATTCTCTTGTTTGGTTAAGATAAATTTTGTTTCTTTTTTTTTTTTTATCTTCTGGGAAAAAAAAAAACAAGAGAACATTGGAAATACATTTTTTTAAAACACTTTTGTTTTTCCTAACTTATCTAGACCTGGTAAATATCAGAACTGACTCCAGGCTTTCCTAGACTCCACAGGAACCCTGTCATTAATGACTGGATGCTGATGAGAGCAAAGCTTTTGAAGACACATATTCTAAATCCGTTCAGATGTAACGTTTACGTCCATCTGAGCATCTTTACTGCTGCACTGCACACTGACCTGTAAGGCTTGCTCCTCTACCGTTTTTTTCAACAAGTTGACGTCGTCTAGGAGCGGTCCATCCGTCTCCATGTCCATCGGACCGCCTGATTCTGGAGGGTCAATGTTCACCAGAAACTGCACCGACAGAGAAGAGCAGGTTAGGAGGAACCATAATATAACCTGAATCTGCACTGGTCTAGTTTAATTCTTTATGGCCTGCTTCAGGGCTATTCAAATGGTGGCCCACAGGCCATTTGCGGCCCGTAGGTGACTTCAATCCGGCCCACCAATGACTTCATTAAAAAATAATTAAATACATAATTGTGTTCTGAGCTTGGGTTCTGTTTACTGCATGTATGAATCAATGCAACAAAATAAATAAATTTAAATGGTAACAGATCATTGTAATACTTGATTTACATAATAACTTTAATTGCTGGATGTCTCAGCCCCTGAGCTGCCGACTTTCAGAAACTGTTTTGTTAAATAGCCCTGGACTAGTTGTTAAAGGTTTTTATCCATTTAAAAAAGGGTAAAACTTAAATAAATATTCAGGTTACAAAGTCACTTTACAAACTCTGATCATTGTTCTTTCATCTTCTTTCACATATGGGAAAGACTGTGAAAACGAAACAATTTATCCCCGTTTCCTCCCTTTAAGATCACTTCAAACACCTGTGACCACCAACTAGAGAAACTATGGAGCTCCATTTACCTGGGAGTCTGTTTCTACCTGTGAGAAGTCTCTACAACTACCAGAATTACTAGCTGGGTTATAGTTTCATGCTCACCTGTGGGTTCGACTTTGCTAAATTCTCAATCTTCAGCCAAGCGTCTTCTCTCTCCTTCCATTTGCTTTTCTCTCTTAACACCAAAACAAAACAGAGCCTCAGCACACCCAAAACATTTCCAGCGGTGACTCAGAGTTTCAGCTTATCTTCTCTTTTTTTTTTTCCATATCTGATTGTGATGTTCTTTGTGATGTATGCAACACTGTTGGAGGGACAAAACGAACGGGGCAGTGCAGGACATAAAGACCTGATGACTTACTTGCTTTTCTCTGCTTTGAACTGTTGGGTGCAGTCATCAAACAGCTTTTGATTCATCTCCATGAAGAGCTTCAGGGCATTATAGATCAAACCGTGGATGGTCCTGTGGACACACACAGATTCCTGTGGCTTATTTGTTTTTCTAAATTTAGGCTGCTGTGGCACTCGCAGAGACGCGCATGGGGAAGACCCAACACAGACTCACTTGTTCCAGTGGGTCTTGGAGTTGCGGTAAAGGGATGGGAACATGATGGGCAGAATCTTTGCTGCATTGTCACTAATCAGGCTCATGATGTACTCGTTGTTCCAGTAGTACAGAGCCCGCTCCGCTACCTAACAAACAGTTCAAATATATACACAGATTAAAAGCTACACAAAACTAGCTAAAACACACGTCGAGTTAACTACACTGGATTCAGACCTGAAAGTGTGGGCTCGACACACACTTGGCAAGCTGTCGGAAAAGAGGCTCCATCACTTTGACAAACTCTGAAGGCTCAATGACGTCCAGAATCTCCTCCAGCTCGTTGAGGAACATCACTTCCTTTGGACTGTGGGTCTTTGGCCAATACTTTAATAAAGCCATAACTGTCTGTACACAAACAAACAAACAAGCAGGCCTCAGTAGTGTTCTCAAACTGGGGTCCCCGGACCACTGGGGGTCTGCAAATTATTATTATTTTTTTATTAATTTTTTTTTTTTTTTACAAACAGATGTTTAACAATCTGTTAAGATACACCATAATGCAAGAAATGGCATCTAATTTATTCAAAATTTTCTGACGAGGACCCCCAGACCCCCCGCAAAGCCCCCAACTTCGTCCCACCTCTATTTGCGTTCCGGCAGTCTGTTTTCAAATGAAGCCCTGGTACTTGGTCTGACTACTGCTGTTATGATTATGTAATAATTTGAAGAAGCCACAACACATTTATGTTCAATATGTGAACAGGTAACGTTTTAAAGTGGTTTTTGATGCTGTTCATTTTCTCAAAACTGTAATTTTTGGAAGCTGAAATTAAAAAGTTTGTTCATTAAGTCCGTCTTGAATGGAAAAATACCCCATGTTTAAAAGTATAAACATTGTATTAACACGTCTTAAGTATTTATGTTACACAAATCTTTCCATTGTATTAAAAAGACAAATTAAAGAAAATTATTTAATAAACACGAGTTATGAGGGGGTCCTTGAAACTTGTTCTCCCCTGTGAGGGGTCCCTGAACCCAGAAAGTTTGAGAACCGCTGCATTAAGTCAAAGTTTCTTTATTTGTCATTCGCACCACATGTGGTACATGTGGTGGAACGAAATAGTGTACACAGGGTCCCAGTTACATCCAACAAAAGTATAAATTGGGGTGCACAGATTGCAGTTTTCTGGCCGATCATCGAGCACAGATTTCTGAAGAGCCTGACCCTCCGATTCTGATTTAGTTTTATAAGCGACTGTTGTTATAAGGTCACAACGCACCTTCAATTTTCAAATCTTATTTTATTGAAAAACATACCCTTGAACAATATCATAGAAACAATACAAGCTTGTTTTAACTGGCCATGAGGTAGTGCTCTGAAATATAAATGATGTTTAGACAATTGTTGTTAAAACTACAAAAAAAAGAAATTGATAAAAATCGGTTTCTCATGAAAGTATAGGCCGATCTCCCAAAATCAAGGAAATCCGAGTCGATTTATCGGTGCAGCCCTAGTATAAATTGTAAAGAAAAACAGTAGTTAAGATCTAAGATATGAACTAATTAAAGAACTGGTAGTAATCTATCTCAATGAATACAATAAGAAAAACAGCTACACACTCAGAAAAGCACAACAGTGAATTTATTTCCTCTTAAATTGACATAATTCCTTACATTCAAAATAACTAAACTGATATTTATTTTATTCGGCTGTTAACAAGCTAAAAATATCCTGCATCTTGTTTTTGTCTTGCTGTCATCTCCCAACTTTTATCAAACTAATTCACAAACAGCAAGGCATAATATCTTGAGCAAACAGGATGTTTAGGAGTAATTCAATCGTGCAAACAAATGGTAGAAACAATGAGTTAAAAATCTTACCGGTTCTGTGAGAGTGCTATCCTTCTCTAGAAACTGAACCACACAATAGGCCAGCTAGAAAAGAAACACATCGTTTCTTTCTGCTTCTGTCACACACATTATGAAATGTTTAATACAGGAAGGAGCAGGTTGCAGCAGAACAAAAGGACTCACCTGTGGGTGATACACACTGAGAGACTTCACTTTGTGTAAAGGCAGCAGGACTTTCAGGAGGAAAATTTTGTGCTCTTCTTTTAGTGGTAATGCAAATCCGTTGATTATGCTGAAAGAATAAAGATGGGCATGTTCAACGAGTTGATGAAGCAAACACATAAACCTCAGCTACTGTGTAAAGAATATCTTACCTGCCAAGTATTTCCAGTAGTTCAGCTATTCCATTGTGATGCTCCGTCTCATAAATGAACCTGCAAAAAAAAAAGAAAAAGATTTAAAAGCAACAAATGAAACGCGAATTATTTTGGAACAAGACGTGCTCACAGTGTTGGTTTAAATATGTACTCACGTATAAAATATGTTATTAATTTGTTTCCTAATGTACGCTCGCAGGCCCAGGAACTTGCCATAGATGCGATGCAGAGTGGTCTTTAAAAAATCTCTTTCTCTGGGGTCTTCACTATCAAACAGATCTAGGAGCTACAAAACAGGAAAAAATGTTTTTTGAGGCACTTGAATGATAAAAATCTTTACAGTCGAACATTTATGTCAATGTGCACAAATGCATTCCTGAGGTCTCACCTGCATTACAAACTTCTGGTCAATGTACTTTTTGGCAACGTTAGGTTGAAAGTCAGGTGACTCTAAGAATCGTAGAAAAAATTCATACACGAGCTGTGGAACAACAACAGTTAAACCACTTTATCAGCTGAACTGGTTTACTGTAACCAACGTGTAATGGATAAAAAGCCGTGTCTGACTGTTGTTGGTAACATTCTGTTGTTGTGTACCTGTAGATGTGGCCACGCCGCCTCTAGCGTTGGCTCGTCTTCTTCTGGGTCAAACTCTGCTCCGGTGGGGTTGGACGATGGTGGCAAGGTCCTAAACATGTTCACAGAAAACTGGGGAACCGAGAACAAGTATTTTAGTCTACAATGGGACATCTGATCAATCAGAAACAATGTGTTCATGTCTGTTATCAACTGGGTCTACACCTGACTCGTTACATGCACATTGACCTACAACGCCCTTCCCCTGCATTGAACTGCATCGTTAACAACTGGAGCAACTATTAATAAAATAAGATACTTTCTATGCTGCTGCATAGAAATACAATCAAATTGTCGATGCCCATCGCAGAACTGTTATAATAAAAAAGGTTAAAAAATAATAAACCACTGCGCATTTAAATACACTATTGTTAAAAAAAAGAACAGTACATTAACCCAACATTGTCAACAAACATCAAGGAAAATAAAGAGTAGGTTGTGTTGATGTATACAGGTGCAGAAGAGTTAACGTCCATGTTAGGAAGGTTAGACATGACATTTGGTAGCAGACTATTTGTAACGTGCAAGTGTGCTTGGTTGCAGTTTGATGAATATTGTACTGAATATAGATAATCAAGGTTTATATTCACTCTGGGAAGCTATTTAGAAGCTAGATGGCTTTTGGAAATAAGCAGTTCAGGAGTCTCGTAGTGCATGTTTTTAGTGGTCTATACTGTTTTTGAGGGCAGAAGTTCAAATGAGGAATGATCAAGATGACATTTTTTAGGATTTATTATGGTAGAAGGTGTTTGCAATGTCAATGTGCAGCACTGATAACCCTCTGAGGCTCTCCTGTCTGCACCCGAACACCCGGTGTACCATTCTGATTGTCGTTTTATCTTAACATCAGCTAGGACCGACTGTTGCACAGGACACCAGGTCCCAAACACTGAACGAACAAGGATCCACGGGAGAAAACCGTGCGTACAGTGTTAACATAAGAATAAACTCTATTGCCATGAAGTGTCAGTCTCAACACTTTGATGATAAAACCCATTAAAGGACTTCAAAGAGCCCTTGTCTTTAAGGGGGTCAGGAAAAGATGGTGCTGCCAGGAATGAGAGCACATTTCCATGCTGATTTGGCAGCTTGGTTGCATTATCAGCCGCACTGATCAAATGGAGCTTGAACAAGGAGGGATATTTGCACCTTGATCATGTGCAGTTTATAATGTGGCACAGAGCCAGAGCTTTGATTAACATCAAAGACTTGTTCATTTGGCTTGGACAAACAAACCTGGCAACAGGAACACATCCAGATCACAACCTCTACAAACACTTATGGGTAACACTGCGGGAGTATTATGATAGCTATACTGACACGAGTGCAAATAAATGAACAGACTGATGTCTACAAAAGACAATTCTGAAGGTTTTGTGCCTTTGTGTTGACACACTAGCTGTCTAAACGAGCGACAACGTGGAAGAAAAATCATTTGAGCCTGGGTCATTTAAAAGTTTTAAATATTTGAGTTTTTGTGAAAGTTCAAACTGAGGCCAGTGATGCCCACGCTAATTTACTTAAACTACAAATATAAATACATGGGCCTCTGACTGTTTCTTGTAAACTGATGTCTTGAGTCATCGTTTATGGGGCTTTTAATTTGTATTCAGAACAGAGAAATTTCACGTTCTAAGTCAGAAAACTCAAATGGATTATCCCATTAAGTAGTCAATTTAAACTGGAATGTCCAAGGATTGCTTCCAGCCTCGACTTCTAAATCAAGTATGGCTGCTTTGCCGTATTTAAAGAGATGCAATAATACACTTTTTATTCACACTTATGTTAGTTTACACCTCATTAAATCAGTCACATACAGTACATAGTGGAGTACAGAAGTTGTTCTCCCAAAACTTCTGCTGCCTGCTGAAACTTAAGGCTCCAACCGTTCAACCTAGAACTCTAAAAGCTAAAATAGCTGGCTTTGTTTTAAATTATTATTTTTTTTAAAGTCTGTGAGCAAATCAGCTTAGAGAAAAATGTGACGCATGAGGCAAACTTGCAAAATAAATAAGGACAAATTTAGAGCCAAACAAGTTTAGAGAGCTAAGGACCCTTAGTCAAAGGAGAAAACAAAACTTGTGATAACATGATGGCAAAAGTACTTAAAGTTTGACTAAATAAAACTTTGTGCTATTGAAATTCAGAAATGAAAAAAAAAAAAATAATAAAACAACTAAATATGGGACTCGCACCTATAAAAATGGGATTTTTCCTGATCTAGTAGCAAAGTTGAGCTTGGTATAAAATAAAAGCTCAATCCTGGTTTAAATGAGAAAAGAAAAACGCAACAAACTGCTTTAAACAAAAATATAGAGACAAAAAAAAAAATACCTTGTTGTGATCGAAACGGGGTCAACATTGCTGTGACACAGAGCTTTTAGTTTTCACAGAACCTGAAACTCACGATGGTTAACGGAGTACAGCACCTCGGCTTTACAAGTACTTCTATCATCGCACTATGTATGTATCAGAGGAAATGAGAGAAATCGTCACCAAAAAACACTTTTTTTCATAATTTCATTTTTGGTCAGAGGACATTTCCAAGTCATTAGTTTCCACTGTTTGAACACCAACCATTTGAACCACTTCTGGGTAGATGGGCTCGGTGATGACGTTCCTGTTGTGGGTGATGTACTCCACCATCTCGCTCAGTGCAGCTCGTTTCACCTCCTTCCATTTTAGGTCACTCAGTGGGTCGGAGACGAAATCGAAGAGGACACAGCACTGACGCAGCTTCTGGATGAACAGCTTCTCCTGCTCTGCGGGGAGGACGTCTAGGAAATGGAAACGAACAAAAGGGGGGGGGGGGGGATGAACAAGTCTGCAACTTCTTATGAAGAACTGACTCTATTCTGGAAAGAACAGGAACAAAGTCACTGCACAATAGGGACCGTAACATTTAAACAGTATTAACATTCAGTATAACTACAATGCTTTAAAGAAACCATGCCTTGATTAAACAGGAATTCAAATTTCAAAACGGACTGTCAAGCTTCAACCTTGATCTGCTACAGTATATTCAAGCCATGGAACAGCAACACAAATAATCAAATGATGATCTGAAAATATACATGTGTTTGGTTTATTTAATAATAAATTCATGGAATTCAAAAGTTGTAAGTAAATTTCTTGCAGAATACATTTTTTATTAAAGCTTTTTTTTGTTTGTTTAATCTCCCGCTACAGTTGTGGAGGTAATGACTTGTATGCTGCCCTGCTAATTATCAACAAAATGTTAATGTGAATGATAAATCACACATGTAGCATTTCAAAACCAGTCGCCACGACATCATTGATTCAGAGGCTCTGAATCAGCCCCAGGGAATATGAAGCCACACCTGCACGGTTCATAACTGAGAGGGATAAATGAATAAATAAAAACATTTTGCAGCCAAACACCTTAATAATTAACTAAATGTGGCTCAAATAAATCAACAATTAGTTGAAATGACGCACTAAAAACAGTTGCTCAAGGCAGTGCAGCGCTACTAAAGCCAATTGTACTGCATTCCAAAAATGAACACTTTAATGTTTAATGTATCAAAAGGTTTTCAATCAACTTTCAGATCCTTTCAATGGTTTAAGACAAGTTTCAGAAGCCCATAATCTTTTTTGTTGAACATTTTAAACAGATTCCAGTCTGTTTTCACAAGTTTTTCAATGACATTTCTAACAGATGGATATGATAAATTTGCACATATATGACGGAGAACGCCAAGAAAAGCTTTAAAATCAAGAGGCTGTTCATAGTTGTTGTTGAAGAAAGTGCTTGTCTATCAGTCTGCATTTGAATGAAGCAGGTTAGCTCTTAGCAGGGTGGACGTTTTGAGGTTAAAACTAAATTTAAATCATTAAACTACCGTCCTTTGGGATGTTGTGAAAATTCAGCTTTTGATGTGTTTTGTTGTTCAGTATATTTCTCAAATTAAATGCCTGTCAGGACTTTATTATTCAGAGAGGAATACCAAGATGCTTCATGGTAAGTTTTTCTTTTAGTTTGATCTGGTCACTGAGCTATATAATGTGGTGTCAATCACAGAACAGCAGTGTGAGCAGTGTAATGGGGCACAACATTCACCTGAAGAACTACAGCGCAGTTATCATGGTCACAGTGGAGCTACGTATAAGTGAAAAAGAAATATAATAAAATAAACCACAACTGTCAGTGAACCACAGGGTTTTATGCGTTAAAATCTTCTGTTTTTATTCTTACAGAGAAATATGTATTTATTATATAACAAAAGATAACAACAAAATTGTAAGTAAAATGGTTCTGAACTGTATTAAAGTCAATTTAATTTATATACCAGTAGCTCAGATCTGAATGTATTGCCATTTTTAACGTAGGAGCCTCAGCAGACTTGTTTTATCACATCTGGCAACCCAGTGTCACGTGGCCTTATGCATCTGTATATGAAGTGAGGAAATAACATCCGATCACAAAAACATGTTTTGGGGTACGCAATAACCAACAAGGTGTGAATGTCCAGTCAAATCACTTGAGACAGATTACTGTCATTTCAGGACTATTGAGCACACCTGAATATAAGCTACGGCCACTAAATTTAAAGGGGCGGGGGGGGGGGGGGGGGGTTGTACATAGATAAGGCGCACTTGTCCATAATCAGCAGGTGTCCAAGTTGTAACAGGAGATATTTATGCTTTTTCTTTTAACTTTTAATTAAATATGTACTGGGAACATACACAAATACGTGCAGTAAAAAACATTTATTGTACATATTTGTGTATGCTACCAGTATTAGCACCCCGCTGTGCTCCCGGAGGGGGGCACAAGGGAGAGGGGAGGAGAGGAGGAGATTACTATTATTTTTAACCTTTATTTATACAGGTAGCATCACTGAGTCACGAGGAAGAGGCAGCTTTGTGAGCGCCCGGGTGTGACGAGGCTAAATGTTTTGGCGGCATGAACCTCGTTAGCCCGTAATTTTTTTTTTTAATCTGTAAATTAGCCACAGCATTATATAAGCCGCTGTGGTCAACGCATGTGAAAATAGTAGTGGCTTACAGTCCAGAAATTACAGTACAGCAGTCTCTATGATGAGAACTTGATCCTGAAGCCACAAACATGGACCTCCACTGGTACTTTGTTTCAGAGTACCAGTAGTTGTAAATCTCTTGTTCCAGCCTGCTCCTCCTGTGAAACATGTTGCGTCCATGTGTGAGGAGCAGCATGATTTCCATTGTGCTTTTTTGGTTCTGTGTTAACAGATTAGACCATACAGATCACCTGCATAGATCATCTGCTTGTGACAGCTAATATAAATAATTTCCCTCTGGGATTAATAAAGTATTTTTGAATTGAATTGAATATGTTTATTGTTTATTTACTGCTGCAATATGTGGCTGTATCATGTATGATACAGTATCTATGTATCTACCTTGCCATCATAATTCAGTCTCAATGTCTCAATCTGTGCAATAATCTGTCACACAACCTGTGTAGTATATGCTAGTTGTGTGTGTAATACATATATACTGTGCATTTTAGCTTATATACCTTGAATGACTTATTCATACAAATTCATCCTGCTTGCACTGTTAAAATTATACCATGTTGTTGATTACTATCTCTCTTTAGGACCTTGTAAATATTATAATTACTTTTTCACTTTTTGGTACTTTATTTTTGTACCCTTATTGCATGCTTTTAGTATTTGTTTGTTTGCTCTTTGTTTTTAGCAAGTCAAATCGGTTCTTCGCATCCTGAGCATTTCATTGTACTGTTAACCTTGTGTTAACCTTGTGTTAACTTTGTGTTAACCTTGTGTTAACTTTG